TTCATTTTTTTTGTTGTTGCAGGTTTGTTTAAGTTTTTCGTATAAAGTAAACATGGTTGGATCAACGGATTTCATTGACGAGATAGATTGTGGAAGCTTCTTCGACGACCTAATGGACTTCCCTAACGGAGATGTCGAACTCGACTCCACCGCCGCGTTTCCTAGCATTTGGACAACTCAGCACGAGTCATTACCTTGTTCTGACTCAGTTTTTTCCACCAACAGTGCTTCCGACCCCTCCACTGAAGTTTTTGTTCCGGTTAGTGTAGTGTTTTATTTTTTAAAATATATTTTTATTGAAAGTAGTTTTTCTGCTTATTAAGGTTGATTTTGTGAGTGAAATTTAGCTAATTTTAATTATATATTCTATACTATACGGATTAAATTTTGCAAACTATTTCAAATATTAGTTGGAATATCCAACTAAAATGAGATTTGAATCTGGTGATTTGGTTTTTGCAGTATGAAGATATTGTTCAATTGGAATGGATGTCAAACTTTGTTGAAGATTCTCACCGTGGAGCTAGCTTGACAATTAAGAAAGAAGAATCCTCTTCCATCAGTAAGGTAAGATCTAATAAGTCCATCTTTCTTCTTGTGTCATGGATCGTAAATACTTCGAGTTATATAAATTTTTACTCATTCATATATTTTTGTTGTGTTTGACCAAAATTTACAGGCATCCCATCATCAATACCAGACTTGCAGTCCGATTTCAGTTCTTGAAAGTAGCCGCTCCTACTCAGGAGCGAAACCATTGGCATGCAGTCCTGAAACGGCTGCTCCCGGGAAGCGCAGGCGTGCCCGCAGCAAATGTCCTTGTCCGGCCAAGTTCAATCATTTTCAGGGAATTCCGCTGATCTCCCCAACTTCATCCGTCTGTGAGAGCAATATTCCTCAGCCCTTTGCTTTCCCGAAGGTGCCATCGGATTCTGAGAGCTATGCCGAGTCCCGGCTTCTGATCAAATTACAGAAACAAGTTAATGCGGAACATAAGAGAAGAAGAAGAAGAAGATCAAGCTATCACTTTCAGCTCCAGCAGGCACTGCTGATGATAGTCAACATCCAACGGCACAAGCTGTTAGGAAATGTATGCATTGTGAGATAACAAAGACGCCACAATGGAGGGCAGGGCCAATGGGTCCGAAAACCCTTTGCAATGCTTGCGGCGTTAGATACAAGTCCGGCAGACTCTTCCCAGAGTACCGGCCTGCCGCGAGTCCGACGTTTGTTCCGTCATTGCACTCAAATTCTCACAAGAAAGTGGTGGAGATGAGAACCAAAAGTTGTGCACTAGCACCTACCACAACAATGATCGACAACAATTCACCAGAACTGATTCCAAATAAAAGCAACCCTGCGTTGGATTATATAAAGGTCCAGCCAACACATCCAATCATGGTATCGTTATATACCTCGAAAGATCATTCAAATGCATGAAAAGCTTCATTATTTTATTTCTTTGATCTTTGTTGTTTTTTGCTGTACAGGGTTGAAATAGAGAAAATAGGAGCAATAGATGGCCAATATTTAAACAAGAGAGAGATTGTAGTGAGAACTTTGAGGCAAAAAGGGTAGAGAAAATGGAAACTTTTAGCAGAGTTGTAGGTTTTAGCAACGATTAGGTCCTTGAGATGCCATTAATTATTGAAGTTTATATTTTTTTTTTGTGTGAGAATTCTTAATTTTCGCTGTTCATTTGTTTTATAAATCTCCACTTGTAAAATTATTCTTCAAAACCCAGATTTTGTATTTTGGCCGAATATGTCAAACAAAAATGTAAAACATAAATACGGTCGGAAAACAAAACAAGAAGCATTTATTAATGTTATAAGTTGTTTATGGGAAAAAAATCCAATAGTCGATCATGAAATTACAAAAGAAAACAAAACACCAAATAAAGAAAAGCAAAATAGATAATGTCAATGGGGTATACAGACCAGCACATTCTCATTCATAGCACTTGGTATCATGAAAACTTTGAGGCTATAATAATGGAGATCTTGTAGTGACTTCTGCTTGTACCAAAAAAAAGGTTGACATATTTGCCTGCTTAAACTTGGGGAAATTAAAGCTCAAGGGTTCCTGTAATTCGGAGTTGATCGGGAACAAGTTACACTGTCCATGTTGTGCCATCAGCTGGTCCACAAGAACCATGGCTACCATGGCTTCGACCATCGGCACCGCTGTATCATCCAAATCAAAACCATAGACAATCCGAAACGGTAATGAGATATATTGTTTGGAAGTGAAGGATATGAAATTATCGTAGTTTGAATGGAATCTGTCTTCGAAAAAGGGCAGGCAGCCAGAAAGGATCACAGATAGGGGGATGGTGGAAAGAAACACAAGGCGTGATATAAACTCATTTGAGAAAGATGAGAATGGAGAAAAGGAAAATTATCATCCAAAGAAATACCTCGTGGGACAACACAAGGATCATGACGACCGCGTGCTAACAGTTCGATCTCTTGTTTCTCTCGAGTCACAGTCTGCTGCTTCTTCTGCAGAAAATATCACAAATTGACACCAATCTTAACCGGATATGCCAAAACTTGGTGAAATGCATGATTTATATAGCCAACATAGTTACTAAAACAAAACTATTTAAATTAAGAGTTATTATGACCTCAACATTAATTATCTTCTGTTTTCTTTTCCAAAGGAAACTATGAATGTTAACAAAATTTGATTAAATTGATATTAACATTTTCTAATAATTTTTTTTAAATGTTTATTTTGATAAAAGAATTTGTTCCGGTAGCAATGTGCCGGCAAATTAATCATAAAATATTAAATGATATATAAATCAAATCATAATAGCCACAGAGAATAGGAAACAAATAAGAAGGCAAAAAGAGATCAAACTTACACTGATAGTAGCTGTTGGCTTGAAAGCTACTCTCATGTTTATTATTTCCCCATTGGATATTCCACCCTGCAGGAGAACATTATAATATCATAATTCTCAGGTTTAACACATGAACTTAGCCCAATTGTTACTCAGATTCAAATGAAGGTATTGGATATAAATACGAGTCCGACATGAGTATATTCAATATTTTAAAGTTTTTCCATGTATTTGGAGGGTCATATATATATAATATGATTTGGGCATGGATACATAAAGAAAAACAAAGAGCCAGAGAAACATATTTTACCCCACAATCAAGAACTTGGGGACTACAAATAAATCAGCTAGTATTTGGTGCATTGGAGACAAAAGCCACACGCAGAGCTAAGTTACTCCTGAAAATACTCATGCCCAACACGTGTGTCCGACACATTTGGAAATGGATATTGCACATTGTTCAAATATATTAAAAGAAATTTCAAAAAATTGAAAATATCCATATCAGACAAATAATATACCCGTATCCATCTCTCACTTGATTCTGAGTAACATATAAGTATTGCTAGGCAGACATACACAGAGCAACAGAAAAAATAACTATCTGTATCCCACCAGAGCGGTTTGTTCTAGTCCTTATTCTTCCATGTTCATCAGTATAAAACTCATCATTATGTTCACTGCCAGTTAGAAAAGTACCTGCAAGGATTATACTCAGAACAACTTGCAACACGACCAAAAGCAAATCTCGCAAGTAATCGCATTCATGTATGGAAGTTCCACCCACTGGACAACTCAATTCAGGATAACTTTATGAAATGCAATAGTAGCACCAAAATAAAATTCTCTTAACCTGCAAATCCGCTGCCAAATTCAAATCCTTTGGTCGCAGGTAAGGACATTACAGCCTTAGCAAGCTCTGCCTCAAGCTTATCAAAAACTGGTGAACCAAGCCCCTGGCACAAAAATATAGATTTTCAATTACATAGTTCTAACTTCAATTTGACTTCGGCTGAAACAAGTTAAAGCATTTCCATCATTTTAAGGCCAAAAGCAACCAATTTCAAAATAAATAAACAAAAAAACACAGGCAATGCACATGAAACACAAGTACGAGAGAGAAACAGAGAGGGTTCATACACGTGGAACATTCTTCACTATGCAAGTGACAACACCACCAATAGAATCTCCTCTTGTCCGAACAGCATCAATAGCCGCTATCATTTTCTCGGCATATTCAGGATTTGGGCACCTTACAATATTACTTTCTATCTGGCAATATTTAGTTGAAAATAGTTGGTTAATGGCTACAATAAATTGGACTGTAATGGAAGGGGAATAAATAATCTAGATGGAGTACAAGGGTGAATATATATATTTATATATATAGGAAGAAATGCTTTTTCAGAACTCGCAAAACCAAATCGGAGGAAAAACGAGGTGGGGAGGGGAATAAACTCCATTTAACTGTGATGAATGAGATAATGAAGAAGAGAAAAGAAAGAGATTTCAGAGGAGAAGCAGAAAAGGTTTAAGAAATTCAGAATTCATTTCAATGAAATGATGCATAATCCTTCCTTTTCCAGGTACAATTATTTTTATACCGTGTACTACAAAATCTAACAAGCCAGCTGGCTTAGATTCTAACTAATTCTGTTACTGCATGTTATCTTAGGCTTCTCTGGTGGACTTCTCTATTGGGCTCAAGGCTGCTGGGTCTTCAAACATTAATTGGGTTTAATGAACCCGTGCTCCTCACGTGACCTTCACTTCATCAGGTAACAATCCCAATTCCTTCAGCAATCCCTAACCCTCGTTTATCATTTTCCCCAATTCTCTCTTCACCTCCCCGATCGTCTTCTCCTCCTTCCTCATCTCCTTCTCCAACCATGACAATACCCGCTGCTGGAGCAGATCCTTGTCCCCAAGGATCAAAGTTAGGAAACTGTCCCTTAAGAACAGTATAGTCCTCCCAAGTATCGCACGAATCATCTAGATTTTTCCATCGCACCAACAACTGAGTAACAGGTTTGTGTTTCCTGTTAACAATTCTTCTTCCCCTGACTTGCAAAGGCTCAATTTTAATTTCACCTTCCTCTGTCATGTCAGGAGGATCCGTAGAAGAAGGGGCTAACTGTCCCATGTGTTTCTTCAAAAGACTCGCATGGAAAACGGGATGTAACCGTGATGTCTCAGGTAAAGCCAAACGGTAAGCAACCTCACCAATCTTTTCTGTAATTTTGTAAGGGCCATAGTATCGGGCTGCTAGCTTTAAGTTTTTACGCAGAGCCAATGATGTTTGGCGATAAGGCTGTAATTTCAGGTACACTTCCTCTCCCACTGCAAAATTTCTTTCCGATCGTTTTTTATCAGCTTTTTGTTTCATGCGATTGGTTGCATGTTCTAAATGAAATTTGACTAGTCTGCGAATGTCATCTCTAGTCTTCATTAATTCACTGACAGAATGCACTGGTGAGTCTGATTGCCATACCATTGTAGGAGGTGCATATCCATATAGAGCTTGAAATGGTGTCAACTTTAGGGTTGTATGATAGGTGGTATTATACCACCACTCTGCATGAGATAACCATTTAGCCCACTGCTTTGGTTGGGAGAAACACAACCCTCTTAGATACTGTTCAAGACACTGATTCACCCTTTCACTTTGTCTATCCGTCTCTGGGTGGTAGGCAGTACTAAATAGAGTCTTAGTACCTAACTTCTTCATTAGTTCTTTCCAAAAAAAGACTAGTGAAGGTTTTATCTCTGTCTGAAATGGCCACTTTAGGCTGGCCATGCAACTTATAAATGTTGTCTAAGTAGAGTTTAGCTACTTCAGCAGCAGTATAAGGATGTGATATTGCCACAAAATGACTGTATTTTGTGAACTTATCCACCACCACTAAGATACAGTTCTTCTTCAAAGAAGTTGGTAAACCTTCTATAAAATCCATAGTGATAATTTCCCAGGCCTGTTGAGGAATAGGCAGTGGCTGAAGTAAACCAGGTTTAGCAACATGCTCCACTTTAGTTTGCTGACATACTGGACAAACCCTCACATAAGTAGCCACCATTGCCTTAAGTTTAGGCCAATAAAAGTAACTTCTAATTCTTTGATAAGTGGCCTGAGTTCCTGAATGACCTCCATGAGGTGAGTCATGTAAAGTTTGAAGAATCTGTAGCCTAAGAGAGCCTTTAGTACCAATATAGACCCTGTCTTGAAATCTGAGAATTCCTTTGGAATATTTCCACTTAGAATCAGCTTAGGAGACACGTCAGAATAGAAATCCACTCAGTAGCCAATAAATCATCCTTGTAACTCTCCTCCACTTCTTGTACCCAAGTAGGAATAACTAGAGTAGTTCCCATGACAAGACACTGAGCTTGGTCTTCCCATTGCCTGGATAAAGCATCTGCCACAATATTGGATATACCTTTCCTGTATTGGATAGTGTAATCCAATCCCAATAATTTTGTCAGCCCCCTTTTTGAATAGCAGTAGTGAGTTTCTGCTCCAATAAGTATTTTAAAGGCTCATGATCAGTTTTGATGATAAAATGTTTGCTCTCTAAATAGTGTCTCCACTTGGAGACTGCTAATAAAATAACAAGGTATTCCCTCTCATAAATAGACATAGCAGCATGGCATTGACTGAGAGCTTTACTTAAAAATGCTATAGGTCTGCCCTCCTGTGATAAAACAGCCCCTATGCCTCCAGAACTAGCATCAGTCTCTAAATAAAAAATCTTAGTAAAGTCTGGTAGAGCTAACACAGGTGCCAGACACATAGTTCTCTTCAGTTCTTCAAAAGCAGTCAAAGTTGCACTGTTCCACTTAAAACAGTCCTTTTTCAGCATCTGAGTCAAAGGTTTACTAATTGCCCCATAATCTTTTATAAATCTTCTATAATATCCTGTCAACCCCAAAAATCCCCTCAATGATTTTAAGGATTTAGGTAAAGGCCAATTTCTCATTGCTTCTATCTTGCTAGGATCAGTAGCAACACCAGCAGCTGAAATAATATGGTACTTGGGTCTGACCAAAGAAACACTTAGATAGTTTTGCAAATAGTTGATTACTTTGCAAAACATCCAAAACTAATTGTAAATGCAGAATATGGTATGTCATAGAACTGCTGTAAACCAATATATCATCAAAAAACACCAAAACAAACTTCCTAAGGAATGAACTAAATAATTCATTCATCAAAGCCTGAAATGTTGCAGGAGTATTAGTTAACCCAAAGGGCATTACCTTAAATTCATAATGACCCTGATGAGTTCGGAATGCTGTTTTATAAATGTCCTCCTCTTTAATTCTGATCTGCCAGTAACCTGACCTTAGATCAATTTTTGAAAAGTAGACAGCCCCATGTAGCTCATCCAATAAATCCTCAACAACAGGAATAGGAAATTTATCCTTAATTGTCATGCTGTTCAACTGCCTATAATCAACACAAAACCTCCAAGTACCATCTTTCTTTTTAATGAGAAGGCATGGAGAAGCAAAAGAACTTTTGCTAGGTTGAATAATAGAAGAAGATAACATAGCAGCAATTTGTTTTTCCACTTCAGCTTTTTGATTATGAGGAAATCTGTATGGCCTTAAATTAACAGGCATAGAATCAGGCTTTAAAGTGATAGTATGATCATGAGTTCTTGTAGGTGGAAGACCTGTAGGCTCAGCAAAAATAGAATTGTATTTTTCCAATAATGGTTGAATAGTTGTAGGAGTAGGTCTTGAACCTTCTGTCATATTCATCAAAACAGCATACCCCAATAAAGCAGAATTTGAAACTGTCATCTTTAATAGTGTAGCTCCTGAAATCTGTTGCAAAATATTCGAGGGCTGTTGGCCATTGATAACAATCTGTTCATCCTGATGTACAAAACTGAGTGTCAGTTTATTAAAGTCCATTAAGATAGGACTGACTAACTTCATCCAATCCACACCTAGGACCATATCAGTTCCCCCTAACTGCAGAAGTCTAAAATCATGAATAAAAGAATGTCCCTGCATTTGCCATTCCACCCTGTTACACCTAGCTGTACTGAAAAGCTGCTGTCCATTAGCCACTGTAATAGCTAAAGGATATGGTGTAGTTACCTGAATCCCTGCATCAGCCCACTGAGGTGTTAAAAAACTGTGGGTGCTACCACTGTCAATTAATATGTTCAATGGCCTGCCTAGAATAGTGCCTTGAATCCTTAGTGTATTATGACCAATACACCCAGTGATAGCATTCATAGAAATTTCTAGGCTCTCCTCATCTTGTAACACTTGCTGTTCTAACTCATTTGGTAAAGTTTCTGAAGATAAAACAGGTTCGTCCTCAATCATCATATTCAATTGCTTTATCTTACATTGATGCCCTGGAGAGAACTTTTCACCACACTTATAACATAGGTTGTTTTGTCTCCTGTACTCCAACAAATTCTGTTTTGGAGGCAGATTAGCTGAACTTTTCTGTTGTGGATTTGAGAAATTAGGTTTAGTACTAGGTAATGGGTTTGGGTAGGGTGGGTTTCTAAAAAATGCTCTCCCTCTTTTATTCTCATATTCCACAGAAAGCTCATATAGTTTAGCTTGTCTGCAAGCTTCAGAGAGTGTCTTTGGCTCCAAAACCTTAACTCTATGCTTGATATCTTCTCTTAATCCACTAATAAAAAGAGAGACAAAAAACTCTTCACCCAGAGTAGGATTCTGTAACAGCATATGAGGCTGCATTCTTCAAACCTGTCCTGGTATTCCTCTACTGATCCCTTCCGCACTAACTTTGATAATTCCTCAACTATGTCAGCAAAGTACCTATCACAAAATCTATGGCAAAGATCTGCCTCAAATTCATGCCATGTCACATGATGTTTCTGCATAATATACCCATCAAACCAAACCTCTGCTTTCCCAGTTAGGTACATAGTGGCTACTTCTATCCTCTGCTCATTAGGAACATTACACAGAGAGAAATATTTAAGACATTTTTTGAAGCCACCCCCTAGGATTAACCCCTTCAAAAAATGGAAACTCAATTTTAGGCCTATGCCACATAGACCCTGAACTTATAAAAGAACTTCCTGGACCTCTTCTTTCAGTTTCAGACCCCAACAATTTAGGTCTAGATTCACTATTTTCACCTAACTGATTCCCATTTTTTAAGACCACACAATCATCAGGTTTTGCTTTTAATATCCCAGGCTCATCCGGTTTATAAGTGAATCTTGATTTATCTTTTACCACAGTCACCAAAACAGGACTTTGTTCTCCATTTTTAGAAGCATTAGAAGTTTGTACCTGTTCACCAGCAACATTTTCCTGCTCACCCGTCCTGCCTGTTAGAATCTTCAACAACTCTTCAACATAGCTTTGATTAGTAGCCATTCTTGATTCCATTGCTGTGATTCTGTTTTCCTGCACTTCCCACCACTTAGGTGGATTAGTCTCGTCCCTTCCTTGCTTCACTAATGCTGTTAAATCCTCCATCTGTTTCTGCAGGCCTGATAGATCAGCTTCATTCATGTTTTGATTCTTCTTTGTCATGCCCTTTGCTTTCCAGAACCGAGGCTCTCAATACCAATTTGTGATGAACGAGATAATGAAGAAGAGAAAAGAAAGAGATTTCAGAGGAGAAGCAGAAAAGGTTTAAGAAATTCAGAATTCATTTCAATGAAATGATGCATAATCCTTCCTTTTCCAGGTACAATTATTTTTATACCGTGTACTACAAAATCTAACAAGCCAGCTGGCTTAGATTCTAACTAATTCTGTTACTGCATATTATCTTAGGCTTCTCTGGTGGACTTCTCTGTTGGGCTCAAGGCTGCTGGGTCTTCAAACATTAATTGGGTTTAATGAACCCGTGCTCCTCACGTGACCTTCACTTCATCAGGTAACAATCCCAATTCCTTCAGCAATCCCTAACCCTCGTTTATCATTTTCCCAATTCTCTCTTCACCTCCCCGATCGTCTTCTCCTCCTTCCTCATCTCCTTCTCCAACCATGACATTAACCTGGTCAAGAGTCACAGTGCCATGGTCAACTGAACCATCTGGAAGCACAACCTGATGAACTTGTGAGACATAGGCAAGAACCTGAAGAAAAATGGCCATTAGGAAGAAACCGGAAAAAGATAATAGACAAATATGATTCAATAATAGAAGTAGAGTCTGCACTTGTATGAACTGAATCCTGAAAAAGTAGTTAAAGCTAATCCTGAAAAAGTAGAGTCTGGCAGATGTTTGCAACATGGAATTTAGAGGTCAGGGTTACAGTTTTTTTTTTTTTTTTTTATTATTATTATTATTATTATTTTTCTCTTTTAGTTTATGACTTGTTAGTAAAGTCAGACATTAATCAATTTGCAAGTGCAAACAAATTAATCAAATACACCGCACAACAATTGCACTGAGTACTAGCATTATCATAGATTCAGTGAATAGATGCAGCAAATTGTAATCACAAAGAACAAGATGAAAAATAGAGATCAATCTCGCCAGTTTGAAACATACCTCAGTTCCTGAGAACTGCTTCAGAATTTTCTTAGCAATAGCTCCAGGGGCCACTCTTCCAATGGTTTCTCTGGCAGAAGATCTACCACCACCCTTCAGTTACAAGTCAGAATCAGATAAATTGGTCCAAAAAAATCTGCACCTCTTAAAAAGTCGGCACAATCCATAATACTATGATTATACTAAAAGGCTTTACCTGCACTGCTCTAACACCATATTTCATGTCATAAGTGGCATCAGCATGAGAAGGCCTATAAGCTATTGACATTTCCTCGTAATCCTGAAAGCAGAATGACTTCATTAAAGAATCCTTCTAGACACCAAAATAACAAACAATTAAGTCAAAATCGAGAACGTACCACCTTACATACATGATATCCTTAAATTAGATCACATGTTAAAGTCATGATCCTAAACTGAAATTATTCACTGGAATAAAAAGTAGTAAACCTGACTGGTTCTAAATGATGACTACAGTTTATATAGCTACATAATCGGACTAATTAATGAGGTCTCATTCACTGTCCAGAAGCAGTATCAGCTCAAGAATTGCTTAATGATCCCTGAGAGGTGCAAAATAGATTAACTTCTAAAGATAATTTAAAATGGACTGCAGCCATTAAAATTATATGCCACAAGATAAAAATCAAACAATAACATATAAGCTTTCCCATTTTAGACCCTCAATAACATAAAGTAGATGCTCACATGTCCTCGCTGATCAGTATTTGGAACAAAAACATGGATCGGTGTTCCAGTAGTCACTCCTGCAGATTGCCATGGAATGTACATTTAAACACAAAGAAATCAGATGAGCAGGAGCAACATGATGACCAAAGATAACACTAAAAATTTGGAAGATCCAGGGTTAAAAGAACATATATATTTAACCTTCAGAAACTCCAGAAAATATTTGACAAGTGTCAGTCTCTTTCCTAGGGGTAGTAATTCGGCTCTGACCTGGCCTCCTGCAAACAACTATTGACTGTTAATCCAAAATGATGAAGAAATTTGCATCAAAAGAGGCGAAATATTATAAAAGGAAGTTATGCATCTGTGTTCTATCATTCCTAGGAAAACCCTGTTTTCAATAACTACCACTTGATAGACATGTGATACAAATGTAGCACACAATGCTACAACAAGGATGTACAAATCTTTATCTGAAGGAAAGCATAAGAATTAAAGTGATAATGCTATGTTTTCACAATCAAGTACCTTCGGTCAAGATCAACTTGCAAATCAGCTTCCGAGAGAGGAATCCTAGGAGGACATCCATCAACTATACAACCAACACCACCTCCATGGGATTCTCCAAATGTTGTAACACGGAAGTAATTTCCAAATGTGCTCCCAGCTGCCTGTATCTCTGTTAGGCAACACATTTTGTCAGACTTCATAAGCTCGACTTAATCCCAATGTTCTTTTTGTAAAAAATCTTTCTCAGCAGTTTAAGGAATGTTTAATTGTTGAATCAGATAGTAAACTTGCAGTGGAGTGGGTCAAGAATTTTGATCGCTGCCCCGGTGTATATTTTAACTTAGTTAACGATATTGTTACTAAGTTAAGGGACTTGAATGGTATTATTAGTTGGGTTGCTAGGTCAGCCAATGTTGAGGCTGATAGTTTAGCTAAAGATGGTATTGGCTAGTTTATGTTGTGGTTAGCTACTGTAGTCTTTGGGTTGGTTTTTGTAAAGGGAGTGTTTATGTGTTGTTGTTAAACATTATGTATATTTCAGTTTTTATGAATCCTAAGGCACTCTTTTCCTCCTTCCGCTGATTAAGGAGCACTAAGTGTTCCATTAATCATGAAGGGGTTTTTTAACAAGGCCTACATTCCTATCAAAAAAAAATATTAAAAGATTCAGAAAGACACAATAACAGTCTGCAATGTCTAGTATGATTTAAGCTTCTATCAGCACCTTAAAAGAACCACATCCTAAATTATTGGTTTTCAATGGTAGCAAATTCGTAAGACCTACACTTCACACAAAGCCAATGCGAGCACTGGACATTTACACAGTTTAAGAGGAAGTCACCCAGTTATGTTCACACAATGGAGATATAAAACAAAATCTGATGCAATTTAGAGACACCCTAAGATGTTTGTGGACATAATGGCAACATGTTACTATCAATTTCAATGATGAAAACTCTAAAATTAAATCAGTTCACTACCATGTAATATTATAGATTCCTATATGTATCAGCCTATAGTGTTTATTTGATCTTAAAATCCTCATTGATAATTGATTAGGACGGTATATTCCTAGATCAAAACACATGAACACAAGCACTATAGCTACTACAAGCATCTGGATCTAATATCAACTTTACCCGTTATGTCAGATAAACAGATCAATACTGACACAAAAGTATTGCATAAAGTCGACCATTTGTGACCGTTATCTGTAAATAAGAGTACATCATTGTAAAATTATATCCAAATTCATGATTCACTTTAACCGTGATGACGACAAAATTTCTCTAACAAAACAAAATTATATCCAAACATTATATACACCTGATGGCAATGCTCTATCAGTGATTGCCCAAAAGTCAAAACTTGAATCCTATGTTCAAAATACACACAAAAATTGAAGTTTATGATTGCCAAGAAAATTTAAGTTCCACATCAGAATAAAAATATCTATTTCCAATCCTCACATTGCAATAAACTACTCAATTCAACAGCGAAAACTAATAATAAACGCAATATGGCCACAAAGACAAACACAATTAAAAACAATAAAAAAACCAAAGTCAAAATCAAACCTTTAACAAAAAAAGTGTATATTTTCTAAAATACAGAAACCAAATTGAATTGAAGCTGAAGGAAGAAAACTTACGAAACTTTTTGAGGGTTCTCGGTTTGATTGAGATGTGAATAGGTGCAAAAGATGGTCTTTGAAGATCAGAAGGAAGAGAAGAATTGGGTTTAGCAGCTCCAAGGAAAGGTTTGGATATAATGGAAGAAGCCATAATAGCTTTGAAAATTAAATTAAAATGAGAAAAAAAAAAGGAAGTAGAGATTGAAAGAAATAAAGAAGGTGTTTTTGAGCTAATAAAAATGGAAGATTTGGTAGAAATGGAAGGTGGCTTTTCTAAAGGGAGGGAAGAGTGCGTTGGTAGGTTTTGCTTGTTGGGTTATTACGCTCCTCAACTACCCTCCACATTTCCTTTAACAATTTTAATGAGCTAAATTACTCCTAATTAGATATTTTTTATTTATTTTAGATTATAAAAATTCATAACTTTATCTTCTTCTTTTTCGATGGTCTAATCCAAAAGTTGGGAATCAAGGAAGAGTAATTCTTATTGAGTTATTGAGAAAAATTCAAAAAATATAATAGGAGAAGAAGAAAAATAAATGGTGTGGATTGTTTACTTAATTGCATGTGTCATGGTGGTGTGGTTATTTATGAAGTTGAAGTTTATAAACAATCTAGAATTTATAATAATTTAAGATTTATGTTAAAACAGTAAATGGTTAATTTGTACCATAACGATCAACAACGATTTTTTTGTTAATTAAAGAATAACATTAATTTTTACCTTAATTTAAGGGTCATATTATATGTAACATTAATTCAAAAGTTACACTAATTTTTTTAAAAGAAAAAAAATCAAGGGTATCAGAATCTATTAAGCCTTGTTTTTATGGATAAACTGTACAAAAGGTCATTAATGTTTAAATAATTTTTTGTTTTCCTCATAAAGTTTCAAAAAGTAATAAATTGATCAATAATGTTACTGATTTATACAAATCGTTCACTTGCCGTTAATAGTCACGAAATACTAACGTGGTATGTTAAATCAACTTACTTAGCACGTTTGACCATGTGAGACACCATTTGATCGACCGGTGAACTCTCCTCTTCTTCCTTCTTATTCTTCATTACTATTGTGCCTCTCATTGATCTGTTGATTACTTTTTCAACGTGGACTGCACTATAAACCATACCCCATACAATGAGCACAAGAACATGTTTAAAATCATTTTTTTCTGTTTGCACTCACTTACAAAATGAAGTAACTTGCGTAGCTTAAGATACTTGCTAGAAGCATTAGAAAAGCCTCAAAATGCAGAGCTCAAATAGTACAATTTTCCCACTTCCGGTAGGAGCTGTAATAACCATGTTCATATTGGAGAGGAAACAGACAGAGTAGTATTCACTTTGCAGTGAATTAAAGTACCTGCAAAAACACAATAAAAGTCACCATACGGAATAATGGATTTGCTTAACCTATTCAGGAAAATAGATAAAATTGATATTGAGTTATGCTCATAGTCACATAGATCGTTGTACGCTTCGGTACGGGAACGTGAAACGGGATCGCAATTCACTAGATCCCTAAAATTCGATACGAGGGGGTAGACTCATTTCGGATCGCTCCGGTACGATGTACCATATAAATTG